TATATATATATATATATATATAAACGTGTGTGTGTGTGTGTGTGTTAAACATTTATATATATATATTTATATACATATATATGTATAAACCTTTACAGTAGGTCATGGACCGCCACAAAGCATTCAAATGCACACCATGCTATACTGTATAGGCCAAACAGGCCTCATTTCATAACAGTAACACTTAAAACTTATTCGTTAAATTGTTACCAATCACTGTTGGATGTGCAAGTTAACATTATGTACCACACTGGCAACCAATTCAGGGTGTACCCCGCCTGCTCCCCGAAGAAAGCTGAGGTAGGCTCAACACGCCCGCAACCCTCGTCTAGATAAGCGGATCAAATAACGGATGGATTTAAATACAGTTTCAGTTACAAATCAGTTGTTATTAGTAGTTATTTCCAATGCAAAGCCACATATTAGTGAACATTGATAGTGTTGCAGTTCTAAACAGAATAATGCCAAATGCATGCATTTTACTATTTGCTTCATTCATTATTTCTTTGAATTCCTGTGTCATTCCTTCTCTAATTTTCCATGAATCTTATTTTGGTTATTTCAGAATCCAAATGAAATCAAATGGCTGAATTTGCATGCACTGACAGAATATTGCATGTGCAGTGTTTGCCGTGAAAGGAGTAACGGTTGGGTTGGTGGTGGGCATTTCTGTGCTCCCCCATTGACATCAAACAGTTCTCTGATATGGAAATGGAGGGCAAGGGAAGAATGGCTTCTTAGTGGGGCTTTATTAGGATATAGGCCAAGGTCTATCCTTTCCTCTTTCCATCTACCGCTATTATCTTCTTCTTTTTTTCTTTCTTTGTTCAGTCGGGCTGTTCACCCGTCGACTTCACCAAAATGTCTGTCTTTGTATTTATCTATTGTGCTGTTGCTTGTACAATAAGATGCTATTCCAACTAATTGCATTTTAATTGTCATACATGAAAATAACTCAAAGGTGCGAAACAAGCAAATGAGACCAAGCCAAACCTGTAATACTACTTTGGTCCTTGAAAGGCAGCATTGAGTCACTGCTGTGTTTTCGTCACATACGGTGGACACAACCACTGTCTGAAAAATTTGAGCAGGGCTCTATTTTTCATGATTTTGGAGCCTGATTTCATATACTTGGCTTTTTGAATAATTCATTCAAATTTGGCACTCCAATACGTCTTTTCCACAGTTTTCTGCATAACATTTGTCAAAATGAGTCTGTGTCCTGTTTTAAGGATGACATATGTGTGGTTCGTGTATTGGATGCAATAGCCGATAAAAGGCAAAGGCTTGCTTGCAAAACGCTCGGATTTCAATTCACCGACATTGTGACTTAGGTTTGTGTCTCAATATTCAACTCATTCTCTCATTCTGAGAGGACTTGAGGAATTTAACTGCTTCCATTTATTTGGGGTGAAACTCCTAAACGTTTCGGAACCAGAATTGTGCGTTTTTAGGGCATCGTCTGTGGAGGTTGGCTGAACGAAAGCATTCAAACACTGCCTTGTCATATTTGCCATGTGGAGCCAACACAAGTGAGACATGTTGGCCACAAGATGACCACATATCGGTAACTAACCCGTCACAGGACGTCTGTTTTCCAGATCAAATTAACAGGAACAGAGACCCACTTGGAGCAAAGCATATGTACAAATGGAATATTTTTGAATCTTAATGAGATAACGGATTGTTCAAACTCAGTTATTTCTGACCAACAGAAATAACTGAAAAAGGACATCCTGCTCATTTCCAGCTGAAATTATCTTGCAAACCTAATAAAAGGATATCAAAGATTATACAGAAGAAAAAAAGTGATAGGGGAACTTTTAACAACCCTCGCTTTTATTTTGCCTTGACAAGGCCAATTGACTGTCACAAAGTACCTAAATACCAACTTGAATACATGGTAACAAAGTAATATTCTATTCAGAGTGCTATAGGTGGACAAATAAATAAAACTTTTCATTTTTGTGGGACCATAAGAGCCAAGAAGCTTTCAAACCCCAATCACAGTTTCACTGAGTGTTTCAATTTCTGGTGTGGAACAGGGAACATTTATCGTTTGTCTTTCCACTATTGTTTTTGTAGACAACATGGTAATCGCTGCACTAGTTGCATGAATATTATTTTTTTTTAGTACAACTGGCATGACAAATGTGACTCACAAATAAATTCAACAAGAAGTGGATTGTGCTGTGTAAGGTCAGCAATGTGGTATAGGGCAGTTACTATATTACAGATGATGACATCTTTAGCAAAGTTTTTTTTTCTCCCCTCCCCCGTTTCATTCCATTGATACAGTTGCACCAAAACGGGTGCTACCTTGAGGTACTGCAGTTGATATACAAATGGCAGGGTACGAAAAAAGGAAAGCACTATTATGTTACTGCTGACATCACAAATTTTGACTAAATTATTGCAAGAAAATATGTGTAGACAATGTGGTAAAATGAAAAAATAAAGACAATGAAACCCTAAATTGAACTCAGCTATTTTACTTACTGCTCTTGAAGCAGGACTGTAGCTCGTGATTGGTGTGCCAAAATATTGTTCGCTGAAGCTTTGTCTGTTATTTTACTTTTTAATAAGCGACCACATGCTGGATGAGTCCGATCAGTTCTGCCCTCCAAAATAAACTTCAAAAAAACAAAACAAAAAGCAGCAATAACAACAACTGTTACAGTGTGCCACTGAAAGCTGTACTTCACAAAAGAACTATATGCCAGATGGGGGAGTTTTGGAAGGTACCACACATTTCCTGCCTTTGTTGCTGAGAGCGCATGTGCTTTCTATTGAAGGCCATAGAGAAAATGAGAAGAGACTGAGGAAAGGGACCGAATGAGAGGAAATCGATCTGGGTCCCATTAAACACAGAGGAGGGATCCCGGATAGGCATATGCACTATGGGCCAATATTTAAAACTGTATTCAGGGCAACGTTTCTGCAGTTGTTAAAATCTTGTATTGAATGTTCTTCTCACGTAATTATTTTGTGTGTGTTTGTGTGTGTGTTTCTCTCACAGCACTTTAAGAAGCAGAGGAGGCTAATCCCGGAAAGAACTGTGTGGAAGTACTTTGTCCAGCTTTGCAGCGCACTTGAGCATATGCACTCCCGGAGAGTCATGCACAGAGGTAGACTTGATGAAAAACACTCCACGTACAGTCCTGAACAAATTTATTAGACAGTCACCTCATTTAAAGTTTATGCCACAGCTGCCCAAAGTTATATATTTCTGTTATGGCTAATACACCAGTACGTAAAAAACGTCCATTCACTAAAATTAGACTTTTTTTTCCATGCTAAAATATCACTGTTAAATAGTAATAATAATTTTTCAAATGTCCTGTTGCAGTTGTTTTGTTTAGTTATCAGGGTTTGCGTGGCTCAAATTAAGGCAGAAATGGTTCCATCCTCACCATGCACCACCGCATGTACTCTGTAAACTCAGCGGACTCACTTTCTTTTACAGGAAGCATGCTTTAAGTTAAGAGTTCCAATAAGAATATGACTATTATCATGATACAGCATTCGTTTATTAAAACTTGTATCGGAGAATGATGGACTCATGGCTTGTCTGCTGGGGCCACTTTTTTTGAGACACTCATAGATTATTTTGATGCACCCTTCAAGTGCTTTGTAGTCCATGCGCACCTGTGCTGCAATAGCATGCTGCATTGCATATTGCTGCAATTTTGAATGCAGGAAAAACCCTGGTTACTTTTTTTTTTTTTAAATGACTTAATTTTTTTTGTTGTAGTTTTTAATTTTCAGTTCATTTCTCACTTGAGTTGCACAAATGTGTATAAAGGATCACTTGGATTTAGAATTTAGAATGACAGTTGCAGAAAAGACTGTTAGCTTTTCATATTCAATTAATTATATTTCAATATAATAATTCATTGATCTCAGCAAGAATTTAACCTAAACCACCCTAAACAATGTAATTTCATTCAGAAATAATGCTTTTAAAAAAATGCTAATTCACAATGCTGTTTTTGTACAAGTAGTTCCATCGGCCAAAAGAACATAGTGTTCATGGAGCCATGTGTGTTCAATAGCACTCAGTCAAATTAAGTCCCTAGAAACACACACACACACACACACACACACACACACACACACACACACACACACACATACAAGTGTGATAGACTTCCGTTAGACTGTCTTTGATTAGAGTATTGGGACGCTAATGAATCGAGAGCTCAGGGCTTTAAAGACCCCTTTACAGAGAGGAGGTCTGTGGAAAGCCGCTTAATAATTACACTGGACCAAGTTAATAAATTTCAAAGGCTGATGTGCATCATCATATATCAAACATTACTCCAAAAACACGGAGATGGTTTGTCTGACTAACGTTACTGAAATCAATATTTTCAAAAGTAAATGGTACACACAGTTTCTCAAATGAAACAGGCTGGCATCATGTCATTGTAGAATATCACGTTGACATCCCAGGAATTTGAGTTTGATAGCAACAAACTGACCAGAATTTGTTCCAGTATCATTTAAGTATCTGCCTAACCTAACTCCTTTCTTCTTCAGATATCAAGCCAGCCAATGTATTCATCACAGCTACAGGAGTAGTGAAGCTAGGAGATCTGGGACTGGGGCGGTTCTTCAGCTCCAAAACCACGGCCGCTCACTCTCTAGGTAATTCACAGCAATCTTACAAGTTCTTGGAAATGAAAGAAATACACTCTTATGTTTGTGCAGCTAAATGCATACACACACACTTGCACAAGGCAACACCGCAGTAATCACCTGCAGTTGGATGTGTTTCATTAGCCATGGTGAGAGCAGAGCCATGTGTCATTTAGCCATGCTGCCTACTCAGAATTGTGCCCAACAGCTTCATAGGCCACTTAGTCACTTCCTGCTGCATTGCCCTTTAACCCCTGTACAGATGGATACAGAGTACAGGCATTTGACACACGGTCAGATAGGGGCTGTGTTTTGTAAAGCAAGCTGGCAAACTTTACAATCAAAGTTACTATTAGCATTAAGTGGGTGCATGTTTGCCATAGGAAATAAAATCTGATGACACAGTATTTTTCTTTGAAGATATGAGAAGCTATAGTAATTAGGACGTTGGCCTTGTGCACACAAAAAAGGGGCACTAAACCGGAGACAAATTGACAGGTTGGAACCACATGTTCTGTTATATTCTTCTATAATGAGTTGGATGTTGGATGTACTATGAGCCATGTACCGTGAATCTTTTGGAGTGAAGCCAGTATCCGATTGAGACGTTTGAGTGATAATTAATTTCTAAAGGAACAGACCAAGACATTTGTTTCGCTTTTAAGTAGACATGGGGTTCAACACAAAAAGACCCCCGTGCGCCTCTTCCTCACTTCAAAGGTGTGCAGGTGTTTAAAACGGTAATCTGCCACTTAACAATTTGTAAACTGCCTGCACTTACTGCCGTTTATCACTGTGACCCTAAACCATCACAGTTAATTTGCTATGTCAAAAGGTTGCATGGATTGATCAGTTAAATATTAAGTTTTTAATTAGTGCCTCCTGGCTGACACATGATGAATTTTGCCTTCAATACTGTAAAACACTAAAAATCAAATGCTACATTTCAAAAAAATCAACAAGTATAATTATCAAGGTGATTATCAAGGTACGACAAAAAAATAGACTGCTGTATATTGTCCTTTGGCGTGATTCTTCCCTTCCTTTTTTCCTGTCCCAACACTCACACAATGTTATAACTATGTTATGAAACATTTTGTTTGAGATTGTTCAGGAAGCTAAAATTAGATTTCACTCGTTACAACTCAGTAACACAGAATTATGTGGGAAGTAGGAAACTCTCCATTTGTGATCAAGTCCTTAATAGGAAGTGCCGTATTTTCCGCACTATAGGGCACACCAAAAAGTCTTCCATTTTCTTAAAAGCTCACTGAGCGCCTTAAAATCCGGTGCGTCTTGTGTATGGTCATTATGGTAATAGGTCGACTCCAAGATGGCTCCTTCCTGGAGACATGCTTCCAATGTTATAACTTGCTGTTGGTTCAGTGAACTGTGTCGCTGCTTTATTAAATAAGTTTGTGTTGCAGCCCTCTCTTGTGACGTCACAAAACAATGAAGAAAAATAGTCATGGATGTGCGCTGAACATCTCCAATGTTTCCCAAGGCAAGAGTGTTGTGAAATGACGCTGCCTGGGGAAGCCACTTTAATTTAAAACAAAACAAAACATGTTTGTTTGATTTCCGATCGTTTTCTTGTTTTTTGCCTTGACTCAGGGGACAAATGCACTTGCAGGTCATCATGATTGTTGATGAGCAGTAAAAATTATGACAGCCGAAACTGTTAGCAAAATAAGATTTCTTTGCACCAAAACACGTGTCATATGACAATGCGGAAAATGCTTCACTTTTTCAGTGTGGATACCTGAAAAAGTATCCGGGAGCGTGTGAAACATGAAACAGTAGGAAAAAAAAACAAAACTGTTTTTGAAGGTAGTTATTTATTTATGTATTTATTTATTTGGCATGGTGGGGTGACTGCAAGGGACGGGTGGGTAATATACATGGGCGTGTGTTAATTAAAAAAATCTTTTCATGTGAATATCTAATGTTACAACATGAACACCTGCGGCATATAGAGGAGTGTGGATTATATACTGTATGTACATTTTTTTTTTTTGGTGTGTCTTAAGTGTAGTCAATGTTCCAGAAATGACGGTAATTTAACAGATGCTATTAATTTTAGTTGTGTTAAGAAATTACATTTGCTTCTCTGGTCATGTTGTAAAGCAACCTTAAAATGTCTATCAATAAGACCTTACATTGGAATAGAGATATGCGCTGGTTACAGTTTGGCCTGCAGAGATGTCCAAAGGAGCTGTCCAAAACCTTTCTGGCAGCCTCATGGCTGCTTAAATTAAGTAGATTGGAATATGTTGAACATATTCCACTGTCATTCACGCTGTCTCACTTTCCGATGTCGAAGTGTTATTATCACACTCAGCATGCTATTCCAGGCCACAGTGCAGTGGCAGCAGCAGCACAGACTGTGGAAAAAGTGTGACTCTCATGATCGCTGTGAAAATGTCTGCAATTGGCCATTAAACGTTAAGTCCACAGCACCCTCTTTAGGCTGACCCGGGACAGGCAACCCCTTTCCATCCCATTCCTAATCAATCATATAAAGCTACTTGGATGTCATCTCACAAAAATAGACACATAAAATACATAGTTATTAACGTTAGTATCAAAGAAGCCATGTTTGCGTCAACGTTTATGAATTCATCATTTCAAAATATTCAGAAAGATTCAAGACCATTTTTTTTTTCAGACCGATACCAGAGGGGAGTGCGCTACTCTTGATACCAAGTAATGTATACCATTAGTACATTTGATGCATAACATATCGAGCCAATGGCAGGTAATTTTGAAGAAAAAAAATTTATTGATGGCAAAAGGCAAAAGAATCGCTCCGCAAAAGAGAATTTAACTTCAAAATAAAACAAACAAGTCACTCTGATTTGGGATTCAAGTGTCAAACAAAACAGACAACTCCCAAGATATAGTCTTTGTTCAAAATAAATTGAAGCATAAAATAATACTACTAACTGTTAATATTGGCACTGTAAAGTTAGAAAATAGGGCTGGGGAAGTATTTCACATCAGCCGATATTGGTAAATCAATTTTTTAACCTAATTAAAATAATATAATATATCTCAACCAGTTCAGGGTGTACCTTGCCTACTGCCCGGGATAGGCCCCAATCCTCGGGGCTCTCGTGAGGATAAAGCGGTTGAAATAACGAATGGATGGATTAAATGGACTAAAAATAAAATATAATAAAATGCCAACCATCCAGAGGAAAAATGCCATTCATACAACAAAATATATGTATATACCTGTACAAGTACAAAAAGCAGGCAACCTGTGAATATGGCACCCTGTAGAATACACACACACACACACACAAAAAAGCGCTACAATATTGCCTTCACTGCATTCAACAGAAACAATCGGCCTTGTTAATGCACTGCATAGTCGCAACATTCTGCTTTTCTCAGTAAATGAAAGTCAATGTGTAAAGTATGTATTGATATACTGAAATACCGTAATCGAGAAAGTCATCATACCACCCAAATTGAGTTGACAAACAAACGTGTAGGTCGCTGGCACGCAGTTCAGAGCAATGCATTCTGGGATGTCTTTTTTTTTTCTGCCGCAGCCTTCTTTGGGGGTATGTCACACGCGTTGCATGCACACACAGTATTTTGACAACTTGCCAACTAATCTCAAACAGCAATACTGGCAGAAAGTTACTCTTTGTGGCCGAATCGACCCATACAGGCTGTCCAGTGCAGATTTTTTAGCAGAGATTCCGACATTGTTTACTACCTGGTGTTGACGACATGCTCTGTGACACACGGCCAGATGAAACCTTAAAAATCACTGGAGGATTACAGAGTGCAAACTTCAAAATCTTAGCCGAAGAACCCGTTGCGCGGGTGAGTAAACCGCCAGGTGTTGTTAATGTTGTACAGCTACCAGAAATGGCGTGCTCCATTGCACATACACTAACCACACAGTGCAGAAAGCATACACATATACTTACAGAAATTGCATCCTAATGAGCATATGAGAGGATTGACATGGATGCGCCTCCCTGTAAAAAAAACGTTCTGTCAGCCATGCATGCCATTTAGTTCTTGATTGTAGAATAGCCACAAGAGGGTGTCTTAAGTATCGGTAACTGATATTAGCAGCCTTTGCCAGTACTCCATACCTACCCAGACCTGGTATTGGTACTCGCGCATCCCTTCACGTATTTCCATGCACGAGAAGCCCTCCTTGCAGCAAATTTTCAGCTGTACCCACACTATATTTGTAACGTTTTTTATCACTTCACCCCTATTACTATTCTGTGTCTTTAATACGTTTTGTTAAGTAGCAGACACTCTTCTTGTCATTCTCTCGTACTCTTCCCCCAGCTTTGTTCTTCTACCATTTGACACAGCCGAGGTGTGTGGAGTGTAGGGATGTGAAAGAGAAGAAAGTGAAGTCAGGGTCTACTGACAGATTGAAGATGGGGCAAAAGAAATGGAGGTGTCGATCGCCAAGAAACTGTGAGAAAGAAGGGCATAATGTGTCCAGTGCTGGAAAATAATCTGACTATTTTACAGTAAAAAGAAGAGAGAAAGCAAAGCAATTGGAAAACGGAATGGCAGGAAAAATGGCAGTGGAAGTAAAGGATGAGTGGGAGGAGCCATATATTTGAGCATGTTTGCACAGAGCTGTCCCAGTGTGGCTCTATAATAAGCTCAGTCACCAATGCAGTGGAGGTCCAGCCATTGAGTCTGCTAAGAAGCTTTAAAATTAACACTCAACAGCCTTTTTCATCTTATGTACACTCGCCCAGGCTACTTCTAATAACACACAAAATGTCGCTTTCCTCTCCTGATGTATGTGTGCATGCGCTTTAACTCTGTCCACAGCAACATATAGCGCTCAACAAATTTGTTAGGCCATCACCCAGTGTCAGGTTTGTGCCAGAGCTGCCATAAAATAACTGCATTTATAATTAAGAAAACAGAAGCATTACTTTTGCTGATGTAATAGGTAATACTGTACTGTGCTTGACCCAAATCATATTTTTAACGCTAATATATAAATATAACCCATTAATTATGAAAAAATGCAAAATGGTGTCAACTCTGAGAAGCCTAGTGAGCCGGCTAAAATTTAAAAAGGTGAATTCCGTGTGCTATTCCCCAGTCCTGTTCAAAATGGTCAGGTAGAGATCTGGTTGAAAATGAAAGAGTGCACAAAAAACAGTTAATGACGCTGGATGGTCTGTTTATGATTGGTCGTCTAATAAATTTTTTAAGCACGTTCCATGCCACAGTATGTGTGAAAAAGCTACACACGAGTATACAATATATGACACTTTAACAGCTTTTGTGAGCAGAACATCATCTGCAGTGTGGGCTTCGGCCAAAAAAGTGAGAAACAGAAAACAGGAAAGCAACTAGAAAGATGATGTAGTCATTAAAAGACGTTAGGCAGTAATATGTAGTATAATACACCTGTAATTAACACCTTTAATGAGGGCAGCGTTAACGATGTGAACTGTGCAATGAGAAAATTCACTAAAAGCAGAACACAAGCTGGATTACTCTGGGAAGATTATTGGAGATGAATGTGATGATTTAGACAAATATGTCTAGAAATGGACGCTTATTCTATAAAAGCTAGCAGCAAAGTTGGATAGACTGGTCGTGTCAAAATAAGAATGAGGAAAAGCAATGCATTGCACGTGACTACAACAGACTCGAGGTTGGCTGCTGTGATTCCTGAAAATGTCAAAATCTGTCAAAACCTGCACAAAAAAAAAACAACAACAAAACAGTGGAGCCCAGAGTTTAAAGCAAACCTGGTGAAGCAGCATTTAGCTGTCATGCTGCATGCAAATAGAGTAAGCCGCCAGCAGAGGTTAAGTTAGCCCCAAGTGTATGCTTTTAAAACCAATTTTCCTCTCTTACCGATGACTGAGGTCTTTTAAAGCATAAATAAAATCATTTTTTTTCCAAAATCTTGTTCTGTTCATTGTTTTAGTCATTTTAGTAAGCTACTTTTTATTTCAAGTTGATTTCAGTGTTTTTAACGGTTTTGTTGGTCAAAGCTTTTAAATGTTCCACTTAAAATTATGTGAAGCAGATATTGAGTACCTTGTGTATGAAAGATGCTATTTAATAAAGAAAATAACAGACATAATCTGATCGACTGTCAAATGGTCTCCATCCAAAAACCTTTTACAGCTGTGCATTTTTTAAGTTATTTTTTGTTGTTGTCACACAACTCTGTTTAAAAAAAAAGACAAATCGAATTTGAGTGATAAAGAAGGTAACCTCTGTGGAAAAAAACACTTTTCCTAAACTTTGATAAGAATCAACAGGTCTCATTTATTAACCATGTGTATGCACACAGTGCAGCAAAAGTGCATACAATTGTGTGATTCATCAATACATTCATCATACTTGAATTTTTACATTTTCTGCGAACAACTTAAGAATATCCTCAGCCCACTCGTACGCACAAATAATGATGGCTCGGCCTTCAAGGAACACGTGAAATGCGCATCTTTTACCCAAGATGTACTACGTATTGAAACTGCAGCCATTTACAAATCAGGAATAATAATTTGCGCAAGAACTTTTAATCAGTCATTTGCTCATCTGTTGACTTAATTAACAGTAATTTACATCTCACCTTCTACCTCTCTTAAATTGTTTTATGAAAAATACAGTATGGTCCTAGTCATGGGCAATCATTGAAATCAATCCCAACATGACTTTCAATTCATTTAGATGAATAACTTGATTTAGCATGCTGAAGCAGGCTCAACCCGGTGCGGTTTTCTTTTCATGCAACCATTTGCATACGAAAGACTGATTTTTTTTTAATCAGCTAATAATGAATGTTAGGGGAGCTTGTTTCGACCGTATCATGAGACCTCACACGTGAGCACATGCTATAAAATCAGCCCGATGACCAATTAGAGCCTCCTCTTTATTCCGCTCTTCAAGTTAGCTTTCTCACTACCGCTGCCGAAGGTTTTTTTTCCTTTATTTTTTTTTTTAAATAACGGGTAACACTTCATTATTCATTTTGAAAAAATACGTGTTTTTTTTTCATTCCGGAAATTGGTGCGCAAACACCACTTGTTTATTTTGTACGAACTCTGAAGACTTCTGTCTTTGTTAGAAAGGTCTGTGTACTGCAGATGCATTTCATATCTTTGATACCACACCACCATCCAATGTCACAATCTCTTGTTTTTTTCTTGGGTCACTCCGAAACACTTCCTATTGTGCATTTTGTCTGTACATTTCTGTTTTTACTGAAATTCTATGCTCAAACACCTTCCAAATGAAACACCCTCTAAATTGGCAGCTTCTGGAGACCTTTGTGAAAACATTGGCCACATATCATTTGTCTGTATTTAAAAAAAAAAAAAAGAACTATAATGAAAGATAAATTGTAAAAGTCAAATTGTACATTTCAGCAACTCCATTCAGGGCTGCTCAATACAGTTTTGGACAAATTGGTGCAGTGCAGAAATTGGTTTTTTTTTTTTTTTTTTCCAGAGTGAGGGACTGGAAAGAACACATTATTACATAATTTTATGAAAATAATATCATATAGAGGACTAGTGTTGTTCAAGACAAAATGTGGACTTGCTCGATTGCTCCAAGTTTCCACATAGGTTTGCCTTCAGAGTATGTGGAAGGAGTACATGTTCGTAAAACGCCCGACCATATGTGATTACTGTAATGTAAAACTGCTGCTGGATGTGCTTGGTCGACTTTTACATGGGAACTGCCAGCAAACAGAAAGCGAATGCAAAAAGCAGCCTCTCAAACTCTACTAAGAATGCAGTGAATCTATAAAGCCAGTTGCGGTGTCTTACAGACATGATGTAAAGCTGTGTGGTTCCTGTTGGAGTCCAGTTGGGTGAAGGTCTGATTCTCTGGAAAGCTGCCAGTCGTCAGGGTAGTCTTAGATTCTTGAGTTTCCAAACCAGAACCAGAAATGGGCCTCCTTTTAAGGCTCCATCAGTGCTCCTGGGGCGTCTTCAATAGCTGCTGTTTCAGATCATTACCAAGGCCACTAATCAAAACTGATTTATGTATATTTCGTGTCAGCTGTGCATGCATATACAACGTTGTCATGCTTTGACAATCATATGCACTTTATGGCCGCGCATGGTTATATGCAACCTTTAAATATCATCTTACTTGAGCTGACTAATAATTAATAGGGGCCATATATTTTAATGACTCCCTGTAGTTTGCCTTACTTGCACTCTTACGAAAATTCCTGGAGTGTTCCAACCTCTGAACTTGTCATGGTTGAAAAGACGGCTTTTTCCTTGTCCGCTTTCCTTGACTGTGTGAGCGTACTTCACGAGGTCTATAAACCGCGGTAAGCAATGCAAAATGGTAATAATCACTGTTCCTCCTGTTCTCTTTTTCCACTTCCATCTCTCTGTGTACCATTCCATCATCGAGTGGGTACTCCATACTACATGTCACCGGAGAGGATACATGAAAACGGATACAACTTCAAATCGGACATCTGGTCACTAGGATGCCTGCTCTACGAGGTAAAGTACAGACAAATATATTTTGTAGAAACGCGGTACCCAGTCTGTGTTCAAGGCTACGGCAGGATTCTACACAAAAAGTAATGAGTCATTACAGTGATGAAAATAATCTTCCTATGGTCATGTGGGCATACATGCATGCCGATATAGCTAGCTGTGCGGTTGCTACTTTGGGTCTGGATCTGAGGTGACATGGAATCGGAAATTCATTTATATTGTATCTAAAAAGACCTACATAATAAAGGGTCAGGAAGGGGTCGACCTTCTCCCAGACAAAAAAAATAAATAGAGGAAGGAAGATGAGATGTAAAGTGGAACGGGGCAGCTCATAGAAGCAAAGGGGATCGTTGGTGCTTGAGATGGAAGACCTCCTAGAACTACAGCACCATCCACCAGGTCAAGGTAGGCCATGCAAGAAGCCTGTGGAGATGAAGATTTCCCAAGCCCTGCACATCACACCATGCATAATATGCCATTTGAAGAACAGGCCCTTGCTGCCCAAACTGCTTGGGCCCAAAGGGCATCCACAATGTGTGGAAGCGCATTCCCTCCTCCTTTCCTCTCTACTCTTTTCTGCTCCCTTCTTTTCCATTCCCTCTGCGTGGCTCCCTTTTCCTCACTTAACCTACAGGCATCAGGAATTCACAGAGACATCCAAGAAGGATCCCATTGGTACTCATTGATCTCACTCTGAACATGGTAGCAGTTGTGCTGGTTTGTGCTTTTGCCCACATGGACAACAGCTCCGTTTGAAAGCACCGTTGTTTATTTTTTTTTCTCCCCCCCCCACCTACCACCTCCATTTTTATGCCTGCGGGTTTGGTGAAGTCCGAAGGGTCTGTCAATACCTGGTCATATTGTATCAGCGTCTATCTTCATCTTCCATTCTGTTTCATCCCTTTCTCCTTGTGTCCACCCTCATTACGTTCTTTGACCCTCCATGTGCCCCTGAGCCAAACCCCTCCTCTGTGATAACAGCAGTCGTATGTCTGCCAGGGTGACATGAAAGGTAAGGAGGCGGAGTTTGCTCAACATCAGTTGATGAAAACTATCACCTCCCAACATTGTCTCCTCCTGTCACTGGGAAAAATGCCACATTTTTGGATTGGTATGTACTTAACTCGCAAGTTTGCCTTTTGACACACACAATTGACACCAACACATGATTTTAGTAGAGGAGCAGATTACCTTTTTATGTAGCTCGGCCAGTTATCCCTCTCAAATGAGTCTCATTGCACCCCCACTATAGTATATGTATTGATGTTGGCTTTACGAGACCCAGCATCCTTGGTTCTCAGCAACTTGCATTTACATGTGATGAGCTGCCCCACGGCTAAGTCTGTGTTTTTGATGGTGGACTTTTTTTTTAAGAAAAAATGTGAGCCTCCTTTAAACGTTTTACAAAGTATTTATTACTTTTTCTAAGTACTTACCCTTTTTAAAAAAAAATTATGTAACCTACTTAAAATGACCTCATCACTTGTGGCATTTGATTTGTTTTCTCTTTCGAGTACAGCCTCATGGTAGAGAAGAAAAGTAGTAACTGATGCGTTTGCTAAAAAAATTGAATTATTTCTCTAAAATGAACACACCAATATATCAAACACTGAGATACATTTTACAAAGTCCTGCTCACTGGAACACCATATAGATTCTGGTCCTGAGAATTAATCAACCCACCCTCAGCCTTTCCTTTGTTATTAATATGTCAAACTTTGGGAATCATTGCTCCACCGGGAGTAGGTGTATTTGTAATAACAGTCCTCAGACACTCTGACTTGTTCCTTGATGAATGTCATCCTAAAGAAACACGAAGGACCAATGTGTACATGAAAAAAGTCATGCTTTCTTAACTTGGACAGAATGCGTGCACAGACGCAAGTGTGTAAGAGAGAGTGGTACCGGACATACGCACGTTTAGTTGCTATTATTTGAAGGTATTGAAAATCGTTAAGTGTGAACAGCCCTCATGGATAGCCGGAGAAGCTTCCGCAGCCGCTGAAAGAGGCAGAAAAGACCCGACTGAATTAGTGTTGATTAAACAAGGAGGTTTGCGGACTTTGTGAAGGTTCAGGAAAAGCCCTGCTGAAGAAAAGCGGAGACTGCTTCTCTTTGTGTGTCTGCGTGTTCTAACGCTGACGACTCACACCCCTTTAGACAGCAGGCATGCGTTCGCATTGAATCTTTCTCGAATATCAATGAACCATGCTCTCTCTCTCTCTCTCTCTCTCTCTCTCTCTCTCTCTCTCTCTCTCTCTCTCTCTCTCTCTCTCTCTCTCTCAAAATACACACACACACACACACACACACACACACACACACACACACACACAAACAAACCGGGGCCTCAGAGGTCAGACAGTGAGTCAATCATCTAAGCCGTTGCAGTGACACTGAAAAAAATGAGTATGCGTTTGTGTGGCGTGCATCTCGATGTGTGTGTGTGTGTGCGCGCGAGGGGGGCCAGCGGCTGTCAGGGGCTAGGAGCAGCAGACACTAATGAAGCAGATGAATAGTGCAAAAACTCCCAAATAAAAACAGGACAGTTGACATTTTTCATCTGTCAAAAGTAGAAGATGCATGAAAATACGTTTGGGGTCTTGTTTAACCCTTTGCCTTCTGGTATCTGCTGCTGGCATATCCTCCCCCACCTCCCAACCACCACATCCCCCTGTGCGTCTGTTTCAGTCTCCCTCTCTTTTTGTCTTACTTACTTTGAAGTGTATATTTTTGGTAAACACTCACCAGCACTCAAAAACATGCACTGTGTTCTACCGAATCAAAAGGCAGACACTGAGAGAGTCAACGTGGTCCCTTCCATGGCATTGAAATGAACTTTTGCAGCAAGTAGTCAGCATGTTTAGTTCAACGAATCAGAAAGACTCCTCTGAAAGACAGTTTTCCTCTACATGTTTGACAACTATGCTCTGTATTTTTTTATTTTTTTTACAGCAAATGAGAATGTTTAGTGGTAGTGAAACTGGAAGTGGATCTTTGTTTGACATTTAGTGCAAATGTCTCACACCTCACTGGACTGTTGGCATTTCAGGTTGGAATGAATTGATTAAATAGTGAACTGATTTAATGGCGAGCAATTTAGTGTTACTTTTAATTGTGAGGTTGATATGTATAAGTCAGGTCATTCCTGAAGAGTTAATAATTAGTCTCGCGGGAGTTCAGGGCTTCAGACTGATCATAAATGGTGACATTTTGCTCCTAAAATTTGAGACCGTGTATGTGATTTTTTTTCTACTCACACATATATGCAACCTGTAAATTTGCATTAAAAAAAAAAAAAAATCTTGAATATTTTTGTGTGTGTGTGTGTGTGTGTGTGTGTGCGTGCGTGTGTGCGTGCGCGCGCGTGTGCGTGCGCGCGCCTGTGCACGCCCTGAATTATGTAAAATTTCAGCTTCAGGGCCACTGTGCTCCTCGTTGGGAAAAAAAACAGGTCTGGAGTAATAAGTACCTTATAGAGCGGACACACAAAATCTTCGGGACTTTGTGCATGGCTGAAAGTTTTGAGCGGTGCGTGGAAAAGTGTTTTGGAAGGATAAAACAGTGAATCCTGCTTTTTTTCTCTCTCTGTACTTGTGTATAATATGGTCCCGATTTGTTGCCATCCTTTTGTACCCTGCCCAACAATTAGGAAGATTTGAATGATTTTTGAGTCATTCTGGGCTGCTGAGTCCAAAAATGAAATTTCTTTGAATTGGTCCTCATTTGAGAGACATTGATATTTTTGACAATTAATTGATTGATCATTTCATCAAAAGGCTTGTTGTTTATGCTCTCAAAGGTGAAACAAGCGTGTTCTTAATTGCTAATATTGTCAATTTTTCTGAATTTTTGCTTGATTTTCTCCATGAAACATGATTTGCATAATAGAAGGCTCAACGTTGTAGCATAAAGAGAAGACCAATGTCAAAATGTGCACATTTTAAAAACCTTTGTTAAATAAAAACATTGAATATCTCAAAAGCAATCATGTATACAAACTGACTCGCTTAATCACTTTCTCTCGTGTATAATAAATAATGTGGAACAGCTTCATGAAGTAGTTCTTCATTAATTACGCTGGTGACGAGTTATCAAATACAGGATGTCTCAGATCATTTATGCATAATCATTTGAAACTCAATGTATTTCATCACTTGTTAAACATTTAGGCCTGACACAGCTTATATTCAACTTAATGAAAGCACTTGGGCTAATGCAAATGTTGCGCTAAAAAAATTTTTTTTTAAAAGAGAGAGGTTAACTGCATAGGTTTCTATTATTAGGAAGGCTGTAGAAATTCTTGACCGATTTACACAGAGCAGTAAAAGTCTCCTTATGCTGCTGCCTTTTCCATTCACATCTGTTTTCCCCCTTCTGTGTTTGTGTGCATCTGGGCTCCATAGTATGGCGTTTTTTCATTGCTCCCGCAAAGTCTGGTATCCCTGTCGCTCACCTCATGACTCTTTTTCCTCTCCACTTTCTTTCAGCTCTTCCACAGTGCTACACAATGGCCCATTTAATTCAAAAGAAAACGGATTATTCCATTTAAATTTTCGCCGATTTTGGTTTGTCTATTAATTAAAGTCTAAATTTCAAGTAGGATAGGTGCATTTAATAAATATTGTTCTGTGTACTATAGATCAGAGGTTACGGTATGACTCAGAGATGACCCATTGTCGGCCAATACTGTGGAATGGAAAAACTCTAGCAGTAGAACGCCTACAAGCAATTGTATCCGTCCACAAATGCAACCATTGAAAAGCAGTCTACTGTGCATTGCAACAACTAACCTTACTTACGATGCCAAACAAAACTTCCCACTCTCCAGTGGGCCCACCTATCCCCAACTCACTTTACTGTATGCTCTGAGGGTCATAAAACTGATTTTTTGGATGAGTTTAAGGACGCAAAAGGTGTGGTGTTAAAAAAAAAGACATTGTATTATGTTGTCTGTAAGTACTGATCTTCGGTCATGGACCTGAAGCAGTGGCATAAGATACGCTGTTAGAAATAGTGTTTCAGTAAAAGCTGTGGTTGTCCCACGATATTTTAGTTCACATAGAAAACATGACAAAAGGGAGTGGTGAAGCAGTTTGCGAAAGAGAAACGGAAAGACAAGGACCTGCCTGCATCAACATGCAAGTCGTGAAGTGTTTTGTGTTAAATTTTATGAGTTACATATATCCATCTTTGATGGTGGACAGATCAAAAGTGAATGTTTGGGCGTTCGTACACCTTTCCATTGGGTTGGGTCTGTAGATCTGTCTGCTACTTTTGTAGTTGTCAAACAATCCCAAAGGATCCTAACCCATGACAAATAGTTGCTAATCTTTGCAATTCTGTCCCATATAGCCGCTTTTACACACTTTTACAAACATTTGTGTGTGGTCTCAAAAGGTCGTATCTCACTCAGCAGCGATGGTTGCACATTTTTCTTTCCGCCATCCAAGTTTGAATTTTTTTTTTTTTTTTGCAACCGTTTGAGACCATTCAAATTATTGTAAACGTTTTTTGCGACCCCCTGTCTTTCATCAACATTTGTCATAAAAGTTGATGACTCCAACATTCGCTACCTCTACAAGCATTCGAAGCTCAGTGACATACCACTCTTGTTTCAATCTAAGTTACGTTAGTGTGGTACATACCGAACCATGAATTCTACAGCACTTCAAGTGTTTATTTTTTTTGTCACATTATTTCCTGCTTGTCCTCACACTGTTTTCTCCTGTCTGCATATTTCAGATGGCAGCCCTACAGAGTCCATTCTATGGCGATAAGATGAACCTCTACTCCCTTTGTAAGAAGATAGAGCAGTGCGACTACCCTCCGCTTCCATCAGATCATTACTCAGAGGAAGTAAGTAATGTCATACATCACTTGCAGTCAGTACTATGTGGTGTAGCTTTGTATCTTCTCAGATAGTCTCATTGATTTTTAGTCTGGATTCGTGAACACTTATGAATATGAAATGTTCAGTGAAACAACACTTGAGCAACAATGACCAGTTTCTCTTTTTACGTGCCATATAACTGATTTTGACTTGTATTGCCTTTTTTTTTTTTAAATTTTACTTCTGAAATGCATCCAACTGTTGGTGCAGCGTATTTCCCTGTAATGCCATTTACTCCATGATGAAAAGGCCATGATTTTAACCGTTTGAAAATGAAATCCAACTTATCAAAAGCATCTGTCCGTGCTACAGAACTAGGGCGAAACAAAATCAGCTTGAGGATCAAGTTCCCCTCACTAAATGTTAAATTATCTACCGTAATTCTGCAAAGCCTCATTCGTGCACGTACATGTAATGCAGTCAGGCTGCGGTTAAAGATGGCATGGTAGTTGATTGCTTGTGATGCGTGCATGTGTGTGTGTGTGTGTGTGTGTGTGTGTCTGTGTGTGTGTGTGTGTGTGTGCGTGTGTGTGTGTGTGTGTGTGTGTGTGTGTGTGTGTGTGTGTGTGTGTGTGTGTGTGTGTGTGAGAGAGAGAGAATGTACTGGATTATGCATCTGTGTGCTGGCTACGCAGGGGTCATTTTGTTGGGAAGCATTTTTGCTGTATTTGTCTCAAAACTCCATCAAAGTTTCCGGACATAGAAGAACTTTGATGTGTTGTAACATTTCTATGGAGAAGCTGCTTTTGAGGTGGCTGTACCAAAGCACATTTACATCGACAAGAAGCTTGACCCCCTCTCCCAAGTTTGTTTTTGAGTAAAAATGTTTCCAACAAATGTATTTAGATTTTTACAAATACTGCAGGGTCACAACCTCACATTATGCGAATAAATGGAACATTTACTGGGCTGTATGATTGTGTACCTCTGATTGTGTATCGTGAAGAGTTCAAATCAGCTCTGTACAGTGACCCTGAAGTGCAAAACGCAACAAAAAAGGAAAGACAACATATTTGGTTTTTTTTTAATTCAATGTTTTCTTTTTATTTGCTGTTGTGTTAAGATTATTGTTGTTTTTATTTGTTGTTGTGCTTTTTGATTTGCAGTTGTGTTTAGTTATGTGTCATCTTATTTCGCTATTTGTTTTTGTTTGTTCATATGTCGTTGTGTGGGGGGCGGGGATTTTTGTTATTCATCTTTGTGGGGGGTTACTGTTGTGTTTGGTGATTTTTTTTTTTATGTGTTTTGCGCTTCAGAGCCACCGTAGTTCGACCCTTTTACTGTCTTCTCTGACTGACCGCTTTGCTTCAACTTTGAAAGCAGCACGAAACCACAAGCCGGCTCTTTGGAAGGTTAAAAGAAAAATCCCCCTTTTACCAAACATCACATACCTTGCTTTCACTTTGTAGACTATTAAAAGCTTTATGAAGCTAGCGCCAACTTAAAACCTTTAATATGTATTAAAAAGTTAATATTCTTCGTTGGTTGCATTAATGCCCTGTTGAAAGTCATGTTTTTATCAATGCTTTATAATTTAGTATATATAAAGACAGGCTAATAGTGTCCTTGTCGGTAAAAGCTGGCGGCCATTGCATGCATTTAAATGACCATGTCTCCACTTTGCTACCCGTGTGTCTGCATACACGAGTCCACAGTGGGTAGTGAGAAGTTTCTGCAGTAACTCCTGCAGACTGCTTTTCATTACACTTTGGTGTTTACTTCATTAGGTTGACAAAGGCTAATTGCATGGTGTTTCATGTCTTTGCACGTTTTTTTTTTTTTTTTTTTTTTTTTTTTTTAAGTGTGGGAAATGAACAATAGGTCCAGCAGCCCTCCCTCCCTCTCTGCACACCCACCGCTCGGAGCTGGAGCGTGCCCCACATGTCACCCCCAGCCCGCAGATAGGGAGACAAAGCGATAGAGTGAGCGAATGATGGAGCGCGAGACGGGCTGACGGAGGGATGGAGATGAGGGGGGGTGCCTACAGCGCCTGTCTGGATGTAAACAATGCTCCTGAAGGATCGGCAGCAAACTGTCAGCTGCTCATCTTTGTTGTGTCATTTAACCATCTCCGTCTCTGCTTCCACCGCCTCCCCTCCCTCCGCCTCCCTCCACCAGCTCTCACTCCCCCTCCACCCGCCACCTGACACTTTCCACCACTTCCCCCACCCCACTCGCCGTGCAAAGAAGCACATGAATATTGTACATATCGGCATCTTTTTTTTAAACCCCACCCAAATCTCCATTCGGCAGTACTAATTTTCAGACTATGTAAATTTATATCTTCCCCTCACTCCGGCACCCACATATGCACACAATGGCCGGCAAGAACTCGTCCGAGCCACTGCCGTTGCAACAGCAGCCGTGAAGTTGGCAGACAGTTACCATAGCGACCTCGCATAGATGTTTTTTTTTTTCCCTTTTCTCTGCATCCTTTATTCTCCTCTTTTTTTAATGATGGTGGTGGCTGTTCCGCCTGCGAGCCTGTCTGTCTATCTGCTCCAATCAGCCGCTTTGCTCAGCTTCGTGTGTGAGCGTTGGTAATGGAGTGGCAGTACTGTGTGTTTGTGTGTGTCAGCGTGGACCTGAGTATAATGCTGCCGACCAGCAAGTGATTAGTGGACTCAATCCATTTCCCCGTTGCCTTGTTGCTACCATAGTGGAGAAATCTCCTCAAAAGCGTTTGTCCTTTGCCTGGGGTTTATTCTCTTTTCAGGAGCTGTTGAAATCTGGAAAAACTGTGTCATCAATCCTCATTAATGCCATTATTTCTTTTCCTTTCCTCCCCAAACCAACCACACCTTGCCCTCAGCTGAGGAATTTGGTAGATATGTGCATCAACCCCGACCCGGAGAAGAGGCCAGACATCACCTACGTGTACGACATCGCCAAACACATGCAGAACCTGACGCAGGGCAGCTAAGCCCGGAATTACACAAACTATAGCTTGTAAAACACATCCCTTCTCAATTTCCATGCTGGACGTGTACACATCTATCTGCTTCTATGCAATTACTTAGTCCAGTGCTCATTGTGATAAGCGGGACAGCATTTATAACATGGTTTTTGGAGGATGTAAACATGACTGGCAGCCTAAACCCTTTCTGCGCAAGGTAAACAGCATGCTGAAATGAAACCCCCCTCAAATCTGTCTCTTGTACAACCCTGTTCATATTGTAGCTTCGATTTTTTTTTTCTTCATGAAGATGCCCAAGTGTTTTACAAGCAATATTTTCACTCTTAAGTTACGCAATTATCACAAATGCCGTAAAGTTTGACAGGAGCGATAAAGTGAATATTTGACGAAAGAGGATCATACACAATGATTCCCATAAGTGAGCGATGTAATAATAAGACGGTTTGGATGGAAGTGTTGTACTTTTTACAGCGGTACTGGAGGCCCGGCACGGTGGTTATGTACAGCGTTTGGAAAGCAAGGTTGGTTCAGAGGGTCGACTGCAGGCGGCAAAACACGGGCAAATGTTTTCCCAACATTTTGAATGGTTGTCACTCTGACGCTCACGCATCGAGTTTCAAGAATCGGCCTGGAGAAGGAGTAATAGAAACTATGACGAGAGAAAAAAAAAACAAAAAACAAAACAGTTTCACAAAATACTGTTTACCTTTGTCACCAACACCAAAAGAATTGCTTCTTGGTTTGCCATGGACTTTGTTTGGGCGCAGCAGTAAATGACAATAAGCAAACATGCTCATGACCCACCGGCAAGGTTGTCTATATTGCTAAAACGGTGTGATGGACATTGCTGAGTACGTTTGCCTCGTGTTCCTTGTGACAGATAATGTTTGCCTTGTATGTATGTTGTCTACTCAATGTATAGCTCATGGCAAATTACCAGATGATAAGCTTGTCTGGATGTGCACAACATTTGCTTTTAAATGTTGTTCATTCAGCATCTGTAGTATCTGTCCGTCAGGATCACTGCACAAAGCCCAAACAGTCCTGATGAAACACTCAACAAACATGGCGAGGATGGTGCACTGAAAACATTGTTTCTTGCCATTATATTAAAGCAGTTGGGCGGGGGGTGGTATTATTTTATTCTACATGGAGAATACAACCTATTTGCGGGATCTGACCTCAAGGAAGTGTTTTCCTTTTTGTCCAAGATCCTACCTAATCCTTGTGACAACCGGCTGGTCCACATTGTTTGTTCATTGCAGTCTAACGTTTACCCAACTCCTGTCCTCTGTCCACATGGCAAAGTTTCTAGCTCTCATGAAATAGGTTTACGACAGCGTGACATACAATGCGTGTCGAGCGCTGACTGTCTCTGGTTTACATGACGGTGATACTGCACGACATTGACGGTAGCACCGCTTTGTCTTTTAGAATGATCAGAAAGTCCATTTTCTTTATTGGCTTGGTAGCAAGTCCCGCAGTTTACATCCATTTTTAAATCCTCACCATTTGTCATAGAAAGTAAATGTTCAAAGCCCAGCCAGAAGAACATTTACATTTACGAGTATCATCATATTTTTGGTTGCGATCATGCTTCATTCAGAATTCTTTGCCCCCTTCCTACCACAGTAAAACATTTTCAGTGTCGGCGGTTATCTTGAATATTTATTACCTTCACCCACAATGCTGTTGCACCAAAGCTTTCGGTAATTTTTGTAATTGCAAGAGATTTTTATTTGCTACTAAGAACTATTTTTATAAGCATGCCCGTTTTAATGGCATGCAGAAGTCCTTCAACAAACAAAACACCATGCTTGTTTTCCTAAATCCTTCTCTCTCTCTCTCTCTCTCTCTCTCTCTCTCTCTCTCTCTCTCTCTCTCTCTCTCTCTCTCTCTCTCTCACACACACACACATATACACACACACACACACACACACACAAACCACCTCAATGCAAACATTACTGAAAAAACATTTACGCTGAAAGCACCATCGCGCCATTGTCTCTTAAAACATACAAAAGAGAAGTATCCCAAAATAATAAGTGTGTTTAAAGTCAAAAATGTATTGTCATTGACAGGAATATTTTGTCTCCGAAGTCAAATGCCTTTATCAAACCCATTATCCCTTGTCCTTAAAATAGGTAATTTTCAACATGAACTGTGCTGCGTTCTCTCGTGTCGTTTTGCCTGAAGTTGGGCGTGTGCATTCAGTATTATGTTTTGTTTGTGCACAGACGATGAGATTTAGGTCATTTGTAAATCTTCACCAGGGGCTCGTTAAACATCCAGAGTACTGGGGATTATGGCGGTTCTTATCAGGGTGAAATCCTTCTTCACCCAAAGGGCTCCACTGTGCCCCATTATTTTACCTTGACTCAGTTACATTTTCCAAAGGCCATCTTATGTAAGTTGTGTTTCGTCGGAGAGTTGAGGGCTTTTCCCACAAGTAAAATAATAGGCCCTACTGGCTTTATTTATGGTTCGGCTAGTGGTTGTTTTGGTTTCATCTTGTGTGAAAGAGTCCCACCAATGCCATGTATTTTAGCTTCATGCAATAAAGCTCTAACATTTTTCCTGACTATTTGAGTGTGTACTTTGATATTGACACACATGCGCATGCACACACACACACACACACACACACACACACACACACACACACACACACACACAGGCGCCAGGGTGATCAGAGTTTGGGATTTTTCATGATGGATAGTTAATTTGGTTTTGACTTTTGGAAATGTAAAATTTAATTTTTGGGCAAATGCTTTGTTTTTGTTTAGTTTTTGTTAGTTTTCATATGAAATGTCCAGTGCAAAATTAAAAAGAAAAAAAAGTCACTAGTGTATTGAAGTAATTCTTGACCTTTGACACTGTGTATGGCCATACAGCAATACCAATATAGATTTAAAATAAAATCTGAAAGTTCATGTATCATATTAAATCACAAAGATGAAAATAAAGGACGTTTTCCCTGTAGTTATAGTTTTCGTTAGTTCTATAAGCATTTATATAATCCATTTTCTTTTTCTTTTTTTTTTTAAAGCATGTTCATTTTGAATATTAGTTATTTTGTTTGTTTTCATTAACTATAATAACCATGACCCAAACACACACTAGCAGCTTTGCTATGAAACACATCACGCACGCACGCACGCACGCACGCACGCACGCACACACACACACGCGAGGTCACACACAAACATGCCATCCATAAACAAGGTTTAAACTTTGCCCACATCTTGGGAGTTTCAGCAAATGTCTGTAAGTATTCCTTTATTATTGATAGTTTCTTTTTTAATAGTTAATTTTCAGACAATTAATCAGAAAGACACACTGGAGTTAGCTTGTCATTGTCTAGTCATTACATCTGGTCCTTCGATGCAGGCTAATCATCCCAAGAAAACATGATGGCCGTGGCGTCCTGGAATCTAAATTCTCAATTTTTTGAGGAATGCTGCACATAATGTTTGGCACATCAAAGTTCAACAGAGGTAAGTTAATAATGTCATAAAGAGAAATCCTTCCAAGTTGTGTACTGTCAGTGTTACTTTTCATTTTTGACATATCTAAACCAAGACTGTAATTGCAACGTTGCAGGCTGCTGATTGGTTTTGTTCATTTTTGGACCAGGCACAGCTCTTGGTGAGATGGACTTTGTTGTTTTCAAATCTTTAGTTTAGTCAATCCAGCTGCCTGACTGACATGATGACATATATCTTTGTTACTTTTATCCATTTTCTGATATACTTTATTTCATTACTTGTTAGATCATGTCCTAAACTTGTTCGGATGCCCTCAGTGCCCCAAAAAAAAAAAACATTTGATTGAAGTTTAAAGACACTTGAAGACGTTTCCATCAGAGAGGAAATTGTCTTTTATGTTAATCCCATTGAGTTGCTTCTGAAGCATAAAAACCCTCTTAAATGATGATAAGTAGAAAAGGGCAGGAGTTGCCATATGAAAACATCCCTGTCAGCTCCCTGTGTACTAGCCTTAAGGTGAAGTACGTCTACATGCTTCCACTCATCTCCAGAGGTAATGTTTGCTTAAAAGGCATGTAGACATCTGCTCACTTCATTTCAAACTCGCAGTTCAATCCCGAATGAGCAGGCACACTAAATCTCGGAGTTACGAGTTTGATCATGTGTGCTCGCGTGGAGGCCTCCAGGATAGTGTGACTCGAAAGTTAATGTCAAACCGGCTTGCTCTGGGATACAGCTACGACACAATATAACAAGGAGTGGATGTGAGACGAGAAACAGGCAATTATTTTACTGCTTCCTCTCCTCCTTTTTCTGACTCCTCCGAATTTGTGTGCGGGTTGCCATGCACTCACACCGCAGGGAGCTACATTTGATGAAGGCCCAGAAAAGATACTTTTTCCCTTATCTTTCGATACTTTTCCGAGTCGAATGAAAACACGCACACAATTTGACATTTGCACCAGAAGCAAACTTCCGCATTCGAAGCCATTCCGTTAATTTCTGTTGTGTTCTTGTTATGTTTGAGGTCATTAGAAAAGTAGTTGTGATGTCTTGCTTCCCCTGAGTTACACCACCCCACCACCACCACCAACACTACGCCACGCCAGTCTCCAGGCCCTCCGATTCCCTGTTGGCAAGGGGAGCGGCGGGCTGGGCACTGGGTCTTTCGCCATAATGAACTCCACAGGGACTGTTGTTCAGTTTCACCGCGGCAAGAATTGCTCCCACGGAGCCTTGAACCAAGTAAAAACAAACACAAGTAAATATCTGGAATTAATACACGTGCTGTTTGGCGGCCCAGCTCCCCCCCCCTATGCGCTCCTGCTTCAAAGTATAGAAACATTATGTTGATCTGGCTTGCTCTGAGTTTAAAGGTTGAGCTGCGTTGTTAGCCAAACTCCTCATCCCATATCTGTGCAGCCCTAAGTCCATCTGGTGGTGAAAAATCTTCACTGCACTTTTCTGCATCCGCTGAGCTTTCATTGTTTAAAATAAGGGGAATTACATGAAGGTGTGTAAATGAGCACACAATGACATATGTCGTTTTAAGTGTCATGGAATTGGTGTTTCTTGGCTTTTGAGGGCTGCGGAACAGTGCTCATATGTAAATCATTATTAATAACCCAATTAAATACACTTTGCACATTCCTGCATTTTTCTCTTATTTTGGGGACTTTATGACGAACATGTATAAATAAGGGAATTATTATGGGTACACTTCAATTCATACAATTAATTTCCATTGCATCATCATTAAATCAAAAGTATTGAATAAATGTTATGTACGGTTATTACAGGCAGTACAGTTATTTCCTATTCAACACCAACAATAATTCATTCAGGCATGTTTCTTCGCTGTGGGGCTATTTAATATTTTAATGCTGTTTTTTTCTTTATTTAATTAAATGCCGATGTTCCAAAAATTGTGACTATCAGCAGAGCAGAAAGGCCCTCCATAAATTTGTGAGCACACAGCTTGAGAACTCTGCAAGAGAAAAACAGCAAGGCCTTCTCTCAACCTTAAAATAGGGTTTGAGTTTAAATATCTCTGGTAATTCATAAGCATAATTTATGTGTCTGTGTATATGTAGATGTAAGAGCTTAAAAAAAAAGTAGTTGGATAATCTCTCAGCTCATCATTTGTCCCAGGTGATATTCAAGTGTTCTGAGAGG